GCTCTGCTGCTATTCTTTGCTTTTGTCAGCTACACTGGCAGGCTTGTGACATATTCAGGGAGATTGCACCAAAATTCTCTAATGGTCACCATGTATTCACTTTATAGTAATTTTCACACATACAATAAAAGATCTAGAATTTGGTTTGCCTATTATTTCATTTCTCCAGAAACGGCTGCAGATTAAAAACTGCCTAAGAACATGGATTCAGCATATGACAGACCTTGCTCAGTCTCACCTGGGTCTCCTTAGGAAGCTATTACACCTCTCTGAAACTGTATTTTTCCATCTACAAACTGGGGGGAAGCAGTATTCATGTTTTTTGAGTTTTTGAGAATTAAGTAAGATTCCACGAGAATGAAATTCAATTAAATGAACCTGTTGGGCTGGTGCAATAAGCTCAGCAGTCTAAGTGACTGCTTGGCAAGCACAAGGACCTGGGTTCAATCCCTGGTATCACATGCTGTGCCAGCCCTAAGCTGAGCCAGCCACAAAAACTGGGCATGGTGGTGCATGCCTGTAATCCCAGTGCTGGGAGGCTGAGACAGAAGGATCAATATGAGTCTGAGCTGCTTAGCAAGACCTGTCCCAAATAAATAAATAGATAAATGAAAAATTTAAACCTGTTATATATTCAACAAAATATCTGGCTTTTAACCATCTATCAGTATAAATGAGCTATTATTTTTAGAATCTTATAAATATCTCAAAATTTATTGATATCAATATTGGCATGTCAATATTGAAAACCATGCAAAAACTAATGAGTCCTTTACTAAAGACTGCAGGTTCCATTCACATATAAACCTCAATTAGTAAGTTCACATATTAACATTTCTAAAATCAAATTTTTTGCTAGCAGTAATCAATTAAAAACACCAAGTCTGCTTTGGATGAAAATCACCAATGGACAGACTCAACAGAAAATTAAATCATGTAAGCACTGCTGGAATAATTCAGCATAAACTCAAAAAACTAACAGCAATGCTAGTGTTCAATTTCCTTTATGATCCTTGGAATTAAAAGGTTTTTTCTTTTTTTTTAAGCAGTATAATAGGGCTGGGGAGACAGCTCAGTGGCTTAAATGCCTGCCAGGCAAGCGAGTGGTCCTGAATCTGAACCCCAGTACCCCTTTCCACACAAAAAACAGAATAACAAACTGTACCTACATGACTTCAGCTATGAAAAAGCTACATAAGCACATGTTATAGTACTTGGTGAACAGCTGCATCTGTACTTACAGTAACAAAGTAGTTTTGCTTTGGCTTGATTGGTTGGCGGTTTCGTAGTGCTGGGAATGAATGTGGTGCAAGCAGCCTACCACTAAACTACACCCCAGCCCTCTACTTTTTAACATGTGCCTCCCTGAAAGCAGGACCTGAAGTAACAGGGCAGAGGCCAAATAATACATCTGCTTAAACAGCAAGAGGATACATGATTTCCAAAGGTGAGATCATTTTGAGTGTAAAGGTTAACCTTTCTTTTATTTAGCACTTCATTAATGTCATTCAAATTGTTCGTGTAATAAAAAATTTTTCCAAGTACCCCTCTCTTCAAAGAAAAATGAGAAAGGAAAGGTTGTCCCCTTAACGGTGTACTGAGAGAATAAAATGTTTTTCCTTTAGCTGGAAAGAAACCTAACTTGCAATTTGCTCACTGATTCTAAGTTAACGCTTTACAAACACATCGGAAAAAAGTTGGGAGAGACAGCAGGGGAGGGGAGCAGGCCACCATGGCAACAAGGCATTCATCAAAGAACTGTTTGAGCAGCTGAAATGAGTGTAAATGCTGAACGAGAACCAAAGACAGATTGAAAAAAGGCTAAGGAAATTTGAACAGAAGAATCAAATTGAAGAGAGATGCATTATTCTGTCATACGTTTGTAGATACACATGGGCAATTTCATGGTTTTATGGAACTCTTTAGAATTGGTGAAAAATCTCCATATACAACTATTTATTCATGGATGACTAGACAGAGGCTATTATTCTGCAAAGATGGTGTGGTTCTTCTACAGTATTAAAGGTATGTTACCTGGAATGCCTTACAATACTGAGAAGCTATCAGTGCCAACAAATTATCCAAGAGTATGGCATTTATGATGAATATCAGTGACAATTTGGAAAAGCCAATTTGGAAGTATTTTATAGATCAGCTTGATTACCTTCCAGCTGAAGCTTTAGAAGGACAGATATTCTTCCTCCATGGTGGCCTCTCCCCACCCATAGATACCTCAGATCACATAAAAGCCCTGGATCATCGACAAGTAGTTCCACATGTAGGCCAATGTGGGCCCTATTAAGGTCAGATGCATTTGATTATGGTGGATGGGTTATCTCACCACATGGTCTGGCTACATATTCGACATTTCTGATATATTTAACTGTCCCAATGGTCTCATACTGGCTTCTCATGTCCACTAGTTTAATAAAGGGACACAAATGGTGTCATGGGTGGGACGTGGTTACCATATTCATTCAATGCATTCAATTACATTATTGTGAGAACCAGGCTGATAACATGGAATTAGATAACACCTTAAAATATTTTGTTACCCAGCACACTCTAGACTGCTTCCCATAAATTCCTCCTGGAAAAAAAAAAAAACTGCCTTTGTATGTGGAAGTATACGTGGCTTTAAAATGTATTTAAAGTTTTAAAAAGCAAGAGTTACTATTTCTGTAACAAATGGTGATCTGCCTTGGCATTATTCTACATCTGGACCAAAAGGTGCTGTACGGAAGATGAGCATTTACAGCAGTCTGACAGTAAAACTTAGTATACTATGCTCTAGACCAGTCAATCATTTACATGCCAGTAAACTAGTTTTTATTTTCCTCTGGACTGATCAAGCAAAAAGGGCAACTGTTTTGTCTCCTTTTCTGCTTATTTGGAAATTTTAGTTATGGTGTTTAATTATAATGGATTAGTAGAGCTGGAGTTTTATTTTTTAAGAAAAATTCACAAGCTAACTTCCACCTTATCCATTCTTTTATTTTACTGAAAAGTTTAACTGAAAAACGTTTGTTAAGATGACTTCCACTTAATCCTTAACCCTTTATTTTACTGAATTATATAATTAAGAAAAGATTCTCCTGGGAGTATGTAGAGAGCCTATACCGCGAATCGCGGCATCAGAACCAAATCCCTAGAGACCACTGGATGAGGCCTGCTGCAACCCTCGGAGCCTGCGCTAGATTACCCCTCCCATCGAGCATGCTAAGATGGCGCTCATTTCCTGCTTCCGCGTTTGCTGTACACCCCATCTATGATGATGTAAGATGCCCTCCCTGAGAACGTAACCAATGACATTGTAACACGTATCAACCCTTGATTGGGTAGTGTGATAATATAAAAAAGACGCCCCGCGCGAAAGGACGAACACAGAGACAGGAAGAGGGACGGAGAGAGGAACTGTGCTCTCTCGGGGCGCATCACTCAGGAGAACGATTAAAGCCTTTCCGCCGCACAAATCGTGTTGAGTGCTTTCCTGCTGGACGGGAGGGCGCCCGACAGGAGTATATGTCATAAGACACATTTACCTTCATTTAAAAAAATAAAGAGTATACTTTTCTACGTGTGTATATCTTAATGAAATTCATTTTTAAATTATCCTTTTCTTAACTCTAGTACTCACCTTTGTTTTGCAACTGTTGCAGCTTTTGGCTTTCAGAGACTGTATCCAACAGTTAAGACAATGGCCTCCAAGAGTGCACCACCCCAGCTGGGATCTGAGCACCAACACTTATACAAACTGGATCTTCTTCGTGTGGTTTTGCAAAAATTATCTAACTTCGCTGTATCCTAGTTGTAAAACTAAAGTATCATTTCAATTGTTTGTAAGAATTAAATGGAACAATATATAAAGAATGTATCCCAGTTCCAGGCACAGGAATGGTAGGTGGCAAAACTATTGCTAATTCACCTGCTAGACAGGAAAGCTTCCCCAAAGGGGTAGCATATCTTTTTACATCTCTGTAGAGCTCACTTATACAAGGCTTGACAAATAAATTTAAAACTATGGCCGCAGAAGCCTGCTAGGGCACCCACCCCTTCCTACACATTCCCATAATGCCCTGAATAGAGCCCACTTGTCATTTATCTCAACACTCATTTACTATTTTGTCTCCAAAATCTGAGCGTGTGAGCAGGTCTATCTTCTTCAGCACTTTGTCTCCACTAAATGCCTCCAAACATCAGCTACCTGAGTGAATAAATGCGAGGGGCCTCCATTTGTGCTGTGAGAGGCATTTAAAAATCACGCGTTTAGCCAGGCATGGGATGCATCCCTGTAATCCCAGCACTGGGGCAGCTGAGGCAGGAGAATCCCTCTCAATTCAAGGCCAGCCTGAACTAAACAGTGAGACCCTGTCTCAAAAAACAAAAAATTATGCGTCTATTAGCTACCTGCCTGCCAATCTCTACTGTACCTATTATCCTCTCTATTGGGCCTGATGAAGCTCCGAAGTATGTGAAAGGATTGTTTTGTTCTTGCTTTGAGTTTCAATGTTACATGCTGACCTTCATATTTTTTCGAAGAAATTAAATAACAGAACTACCGATTCCACAATTTATCTGTACTCGCGAATAGTTCCTCACGGCCTAACCTCGGAGCAGAATAAGCAGATTAACTCTATGCTGAATGAATGGACAGATACATCACTGTTTTAAAGTAGGTGAAAGCTTTACCAAATGACAACTGTAAGCCAGGACTGAAGAGCTGGAAGTGACTCGAGTCAGGCTGTCTGTGTTTTGCTTATACACACGCTTCTTTAATTCCCAAGTTTCAAGTGATTATGCGGTATAATGGAAGCCTGCAGAAGAGCCCAGCGACCCCGGTCCGCCCGCGTCCCGACGGCAGGACGGAAGGGCCGCTCCCGCTGCGAGCCGCCGGCGGCACCGCGTGCCCTTCCCAGAGCCACAGCGCGCACGCGCAGAGGAGCCGCGGCCTTGGCCGGACCGCTGCAGCCGAGGGAACCGCCCCACTGCCCCGCACTCACCACAAACGAGACCGCGAAACCGGGCTGGCTCATCTCCGCGCAAACCGGCCGAGGTTACGCTCAGAAACTGAGCAGACACTCCAGCAGGTCACGTCCCCGGGGTCCGGGCGCCGCCATCTTGGGGGCGGGGCCCGCGGTGACTGCACTTCCGGGTCCTCCGACGTCAAACCACAACAACTGCACGTGCAGCATTTAGGCAGGAAGGGGAGGGGCGGTGAGGGGAGGACAGGGGGCTTACGGGAGGGGGGGTGTGTATGTGTGTGTACCTCTGGGCTCTTCTACTCCCTTTTCAGCCCTTCCAGTGGCTGTGGTGAAGTATGTCTGTAATCCCAGCACTGGAGACTGAGGCAGGAGTGCTACAAATTGGAGACCAACCTGAGCAGTTAGTGAGTTCAAGGCCAGCCTGAACTACATCTCAAAACAAGGGACCCTGGTGGGTGTTCCGGCAAGGCCAGGACTCATTTCAGGACAGGACACTTGTGGTTTCCTATTGTTCACAATCCAAATAGCTTCATTTTGATATATCTTAGTATTAGCTCTATAAATCGTCTAAATTTCTATTCATTATCAGGCAATTTAGTCATAATTAACTCATCATTAAGTAAAAATAGAGAAAAACACTGCATACATTTCCTAAAAGTTAGCATCCTCCACCTATTAAAATTACTTGTTCAGGAAAATAAGTGGTTAAAAGAAGCTAGGAAGGGGAGGAGAAAGGCAATAGAAGTTAAGACAACCAGGATCAAAAATAGATAAATAGGGTCTGGGGCTTTGGACTCCTGGTAGAATGAGTGCCATTATATTTAAGGCCCTGGACTAGGAGGAGAAATAAGCCCTGGAGTTGTACAGCACAGCAGGATGACTATAGTTTACAATTTGTTATATATTTTCCGAAGAAATAGAAGCTTGAAAGTTCCCGAAAATGTTTAGGGACATGGAAATGCTAACTACCCTTGACTATGATGCCTTGTAGGCATTATTGAATTATCACACTGTACCCTTATAAATATGTATAATTAGTTTGTCAAAATTGGATAATTTTTAAAATTTACTTTTTAAACATTTACTGCTTCATCCTATTGACTGTTTTTGTTTTGTTAAGATAAGGTCTTGCTGTGTAGTCCAGCCTGGCCTTGAACTCAGTGATCTTCCTGTCTCAGCCTCCAATTGCTGGGATTACAGACATATGTCACCACACACAGCTCATGTTGATTGTTGTACCTATACATATATTTCAAAACCCATGTTACTAAGTCCCTAATGAAAATTTTCTGGAGCGAAACTGTCTTTACATTTACTAAACATGTATCTCATAACTTTCCATATATATTAGGAACCTCCTAGCTTCGTATCTCAGACATGATGCTGGTGACTGATGGATACTTTCTTAATCTTCACATCAACCCTATAAGATAAATAAGCACCATTATCATCACATTTCACAGAGGAGCCTGATGCTCCAGAAAGTTAAATGACCAACCCAAAATTACAGTAAACAGCAGAGACAAGACAGGAAATCTGCTTTGTGTATTCATTTTTCCTCAAAAGACAGTAGTCAGAGCAGGCTCCTTTCTAGACTTTCTTCAGTTCATCTTGTGTAACCCTGGTACAAGCTATATTGTCTCCTAGAGAAGACCCCTTGAAATGATTTAGCAGAATAGCTATAGGTGCTAGATCAGATTCAAATTCTGCACAATCACCTACTTGGTTCGGGCATAACTTCTTCCCATAGGGAGACGCAGTCTCATTGTTCCCATATTGTTTTCTCTACCTACCACACCTTTCATCCTGGCTGCAAAACATTTCTTTCCTGTCTGCCACATAACCTCTTCCAGAGGCTCTCTCCACCCCTAGGCGGCAACAAGGAGTCGCACGTATGTAGCCACAGAAACTTGAGATTCAGCCACGTGAACAGAGAAGATTCACATAATATTACAGATGAAAGTAAGTTTATTATCAAGGTACAACAAAGTACAATATATTACTACACAATGAGGCAGGAGACAGCACCAAAGAGGAAGGGAGTCCTCTGGATCTTGCATGAGACAAAGCCTTTTGCAGGAGAGACAGGAAATGTTGCACCACTTTTAGTTTTTCATTCTCTTAAGTACTGTGTTCAGACAAAAGTGGGTTGGTGAAGGAATGGTCAGTCTTCTGTGTGTCAACAGCTATCACTACGCACTCCTTTCTCAGGTGCTAGCCTCTGCAGAAGGGCAGCAGCCAAGGTCATTTCAGCAATCACATGTAATTTGCCCTCATTTTTAACCCTTCCCAGACATCATGGTAGTTCACTTCCTCAAAGTCAGCTGGAGAATCTTTGCTGCAGCTGTTTATCTCTTTGAAAGGTTCATAAAATTTATTGTGGCACACCCAGGGTAAGTATATTTGGTTAACTCAAAGTTAACCTTATTTACATCTGCAAAATACCTTTTTTTCATAGAATGCAATATATTCATGGTAATAGTGTTCCATGATACTCAAGGTCCTGCCCATACTCAAAGGGAGTGATTACACAAAACATATTCAGGGCAGGAATCTTGAAGGTCATCTGAGAATTCTGCCTACCATACTTTCCTATCAGCCCTTACTGGCAGGCTCCAGTGTGAATGTGTCCCCCAAATTTATTTTTTGAAACTTAATTGCCAGCAGGATAGCATTACCTATCAGCATCTAATGAGTTTCTATTTATCTTTCTGCGCCCAATAGTACTACTTCTGGTCAAAGCCACCTTCTTTATTCTGCCTTCCTCCATCTCTCTGCTGATTCCCTTTCTTTTTTCATTTTTCTCTCTGCTTCTCAGGCCATTCTCTTTCACACTTTTATTGTACTGTTACAAGTCTATTGCAACTATCCCTTCATCTTCTCCTCTCCTCCGAGTTTCTCTGGTTGTCCGAGTTTCTCTGGTTGTCTCTTTTCTCCTCTTCATCCACCCCATCTCAACATTCACATAAAAACAGCTATTGCCTGGGAAAGACACTTTCCAGTGAGATATCAGAAAGTTAGGATGTGGGCAGAACTTGAAGTTCATAGGAAAACTATGTCACCTCCCCCAGTTTGGGCTCAGGGGGCTCCCTGAGGTGGTGACCACCAAACAAGGCTTAGCATGGCAGGCCCAAGAGGCCTTCAAGGATGGGGAATCTCAGGAAATGGGTCTGTACTGCAGCATCCCAGGACCAGATTCATCTCCTGAGATCATTTGCTCTGAGGGGGAGTTTGGGGAACAGATTGAAGATCCACTTCTACACTGGGGATTTGACAGGTTATGCAGTGGAGAAAGATGACATAAGGGTTTCAAAAAGGAAGACTCAAGTTGGTGCTACACAGTGACTTTATTTTTTGTATCAAAAAATAAAGAGGTCTGGAAATACAGCTCTACAGCTCAGACTGAGGCAGTGGGTTCAATCCCAGAACTTAAAAAGGAAACTAGGCAGTAGGTGGCCTCCACTAGAGGAGCCAGTTGAGGGCATTTTAGCCAGAAGTGAAGTTGCAGCCAGAATCCAGAAGTGGAGGGACTGGCCTGGAAGTACCTCTAGGCAACACAAGACTACTGCTAGATGAGAACAGCAAGACCAGGACTGTAATCTTCATAAGCATGCTCAGGCCTGGGTATGTAACACATGGCAAGGGGGTGTCCCTACAGGCAGGTCTGAACTAGAAAAGAAACATTCTCCAGGTGGAATGCTTTCCCTGAAACTGCTTCCAGATAGGAAACATGTGGGCAGGTTCTAAGTCTTCCACTGACCCTCTCACGACCTGTCCCTCCTTCCTCCCTACAAAAGTCCTTGATGTCAGGGATGCAGTGGAGCCAGGCTGCTTCCACCCTTTTCAAGTTAAATGTTTGAAATAGTGCAAGAAAAGATTAGAGTTAGGAGGACCATAACTGTTGAATCTTGAGATGTCTTCTACTTAAGAATTTTTTTGGTTAAAATAGTCTATGTAGTTCAGCCTGGTCTTGAATGTTCCTGCCTCAGCCTGGAGTGCTGGGATTATAGAAGAGTGGCACCAGGCCTGGCCACTTCACAAACTGCAAATTTTAGTAGTCCTTTTTGTGAGCTATAAATGAAAGATCCATTGGGAACAATAACTTTTGATTGGTTATGCCTGTATATAAACAAGGGATTAAGAATAGCATTTTCTGATTGGTCCTGGGAATAGCACATTCAAATGAAGGGTCAGAGATAGTGCCTTCTGATTGGTCTGGTAAACAGTACCCAGGAAATGTAAACTTAGTCATTTGGGGTTCTGTGTTCTGACATGCCTTTTTAGGAAACATATTGCTCAGTTGGTCAAGGGTTTTATGAATTCTGACATTTTGCCTGGTTGGTTAGTTCACTTCACCCTCATCTCCTACCTCAGCTTGGCTTTCACCCAGTGAGAAATTTTACCTGATTGTGATATCTAACTGAACCTTGAGTTCAAACATATCCCTCAGTTTATCTTTACCTAGACCATGGTTCAGACCCACTTCCTTATCCCTTACTCTTAAAACTCAAACTATGAGGTCCACTAGACACTGACTTCAGTCAAAATTTATCTCAGAAGAGGTACCCAGCTCAGGAGCTGGGTTTATACTCGGTAATTTTCCTCACACCCAGTTATAAATTTAATTATGAGAAGTGTGGTTGAATTTAGCCAGATTCTGATTTCAGTCCTACTGTAATATTCATTCTTATGCTGTTCATTTTTACTTCAGCTGCACTCAGTATGTGATGACACACAGAAAATTCATCTCATGTGTTAGCCTCAGCTATCCATCAGGGATAATTCTAAGAACCTCACCTGCATAGCTAGGTTTTTTTTCTTTTTTTTTCCCTGCATTTAGGACACAGTCTACAGGGTCGATAGGGTCTTACTATATAGATCAGTCTCACAGTGCTTCTCCTGTATTCAGCCTCCCAAGTGCTGGGATTACAGGCCTGCGCCACCATGCCCAGTCTCAATCACCATCTCAGCGTGCCCCGGGGATGGGGCCAGCATGGCAAGCCAGGGATTGATCCCTGGCCGCTGGACTCTGCTTAAGCAGGTGCTTCAATCCACTGAGCTATCAGGCCAGCCCTACAGCTAGGTTTATTTCTAATGACTTCAAATCTGTACACAGATTCATCCTCAATGAATTCACAGTTAAATCTGTAGCTATCATTATATCTAACTTTCCCCAAAGAAAAATGCATGTCCAGTGCCCAACTCAGCCTACCAGAAAAATTCCAGAAATTGATAGGATTATGCTAGCTGGATGATGTCAACTGAGGAACAAGACTCACCTCTCTCATTGCCCTGTGTCTCACAAATGTCCTGGCTATGACCTCAGCTCTATAGCTGAACTCATTCCAGAAGCTGACTTTGTTCCTGCAACTGGATCCAGCCTTGATGATTTTAATCTCTGTCCCTACTTTATTTCTAGCCCTGTTACCCAAATCCATCTAACACTATTTTGGAAGTTTATTTGTTTTCTCATGTTATGGAGTTATATCTCTGTCACTTGTAAACTAAGAGTCCTGAGCATTAGACAAAACATCAGGCCAAAATGTCTGCACCAGGACAGTTTCTAAAGGCTTCTCTTGGTAATTTGCCTTTGGCTTCAGAAAATGGATTCCATTTCTAGTAACTGTGTCAGTTCCTACAAAATCCAGTTATGAGATTCCAAATGTCAGGGGTAAAAGATACAAAATCAAAGAAAAATCAAGGAATGCCTGCCAATGAAGTTCCTGTATTCTGTGGCAAGGAGGCCATGACAAACTCAATGGGTGGGTCCCACTAAACCTTCATGGTGGACAGTAAAGTGACATCATAGTTTGGACACAATTCCTCGTATTACCCAAGTTCTCTCTTTCCTTCATGATCAAACTTACTAAAATACTTATTTCATCTTGTGAAGTCTAGCTCATGCCTCATTCCCTCGCTAATGTGCCTCTTGGTCTACAGGTCTTCCTCAGGTCTCACCAAGGAATCCCTGGTCCTTAATTCAACAAACATCCCTATAATCTTGGTTCCTTAGATCTCAGTAACTCTCTTTCCATAAACCCTTCCTTTTTGGTCTTCAGGATACACTACTCTTCTGGTTCTTTTCTTTTTTTGTAATTTCTTGTCTCCCTGTTGCAGGATTGCTTTCTCCTAACTGGTGAGTAAATATTTCAGGAACTCAAGCTTCAGCCCTGAGCCCACTGCTCGGTCTCACCTTTATCTATAATATAGTCCACCTCCTTGAATACTCCAATTCCCTCCTCACCCTCCCCAAGACCTGAAGCAATGCTGATTCCCTCCCACTCACCCTTGGAGCTCAGCTTCAGCTGCCATTTCCTGATGAAAATTCTTTGCTTTCTTGGTACAACCTCTTTACCATATACATAGCTTGGGTCTCAGCCAAACGGCCTACCTTCAAATCCTGGACCTATGGTTCACTAGCCATAGGGCCTTGGGAGAATTAACATACCTGAATGAAAAGCAACCTGTTTTGTCATATGAAGGTAATAATCCTCAGCCAAACCACAGCTAACATTGTTACTGGGTGTTAATAAATAACAGGAAATGAGCATACTTTAAAAAAAAAAAAAAAAGATGACATGAACCAAAATATCATTTAGTTCCTCACAAATATGTATAAATTCTGTATGTCAATCAGAAATAAATAAAACATAAGAAAGGACAATGTTGTGAAGCAGTGATTCTCCAGAGTGTACATAAGAATCACCTAAGCATCAGCATATCTAGGGGTGGAGGAGGGTCAATAATTCGTACTTCTTACAAGTTTTCTGGGAACAGTAATGCTTCTAGGCTGGAGACAAGTTTGAGAAACACATTACAGCAATGCCTGGGGGTTTTCTCAAAAACCTTAAGTCTCCCAGTTATGTTAGGTACATGTAAGGATTTGAAAGGCCAAGTATAACATCATCCATTTTATTTTATACTTCTCTGATCACTGAAACCTAAACAGAAAGTTATTTAAAACAAAACAAAACAAAAAAAAAAAAACTAAACAAATAAAAAGGTAAATAAAAAGAAAGCAGCAACAAACTTAATGCTGAGATGAGAGGAGAGGAAAGCAAAGCCCGCCTTGAGGAGGGTACACACATTTGTCGGCCCCAGCAGTGTGGTCCAGAGCTGGACCCTAGTGAAGACAGCAGTTGCTGTAGTCACATGGTGTAGTCCTGTGGCCTGAGGACACACAGGAGCTCCTTCCTGCACCATCGGAATCTGGGCTGCACAGGCATGAACCAGGGTGCACACACCAGACCTGCCTTCTCCCGAGCGGGCTTCAGGCCTGAACACTGTTTTGCGTACACGTGCAAGCTCACCTTCACACACTCTCAAGCACAGCTCCTGATTTCAGGGCTCATTTACCAGCCCAAGTCAAAGTCTATGTGAATCTGCTTAGCCACTGCAGAGGCAGGCTGTCAACCATCCTGAGGACCAGTAAGGGAGAGACAACATTGTGTACCCTGCTGCAAGGGAAAATTATGAGCCACTGCAGCTGCTGGGCTCGGTCATGGAGCTCCAGGGGCCAGTTCTGAGACGCCATCCAGCTCGGCTTTGCTCCTCAGTACCCAGCTGACAATGAAGCAGAGTGCCAGGAGGCCAGTCCCTAGCAGGTCCCCGAGCCCAGTAAGGTATGGGATGCAGTGGCTGTCAGGATCCAGAGCATGGTGCCACGTCAGCCGAACCATCACTTCTGCCAGGTACAGCAAGATTGTCACCTATCACAAGAGCAAGCAGACAGAAAAGATCAAGTCAGAAGGGTAAGCAGAGCCAAGGATCACCAACTGGATTTCCAAGGCAGACACCAAAGTATACATCAGCCCCAGCTAGCCCTGTCCTTAAGTTTCTCTCAAGGTCTGCTTTCACTTGGACATGTGCTAGAAGCTGACCCCCAGTGTGGCAATACTGAGGTGGTGGAATTACTAAGAGGTGGGACCTAGCAGAAGGAGATTAGGTCATGAATACATCAAAACTGTCTGGAAAGAGTGGGTCTGGTCACCCTGAGACTGAATTGCTGGGTTGTTATAAAAGCGTGAGCGTGGCTTCTCCCTGCTCTGGCTTCCTCACTCACACCATTGCCTTTCAGAATACAGCTCAGCCTCATCCACTTCTTCTCCATCTTGTGCCATAGCCAGAGGACTCTCATCAAATGCCAGCACCAAACTGTTTTCATCCTTCAACCACCAGAACTGTGAATCAAATAAACCTCTTTTCTTTGTAAGTTACTCAGCAACACCAAATGGACTAGCCTCCCAAAGTGCCACACAGACCTGCTGCCAAATACTGACAGGGACGTTCCCTGCTTTACCAGCCTCCACTCCTAGGACCTTGCTGGAACTTCCACAAGTATTTGCTTAAGCCCCTCTTCTCTGGAACTCTGGTCAGTCAGCTCTTCCTAAAGCTGCCCAGGGAGGTCCACACAGCCCTGGCTGGGACCAGTGGCCCCTCTGAGCTTCATCCTCTTTAACTGGAGCTATGCACTGCAGCTATTCAGGACAACTGCCCAGACTTTCCCACTCCAGCCTTTTGGGGTGGAGATTATGCTACCACTACAAATGCCATAAACTTGGGGAGGGCTGGGGATATAGCTCAGTGGCAGGAAGAACTGCTTGGCAAGCACAAGATTCTGAGTTTAATTCCCAGTACCAAAAATAAAAATTAAAAAATAAACTTGGGGAGGTAAAAAATGCACAGCCCCTAGTACTAGGAACAACCTCAAAGAATTGCCCACCACTGCCCAGAGAACTCCCTTCAGAAACGTAGGCCCATTGGGGTCATTAGCCAGTTGGGAGTTGTGGTGGTCTGCTGAAGGACACTCTGAAGCGGGTGCCAGTTTGATTTTCTTCACTATTGTCCTCGTCACCATCTAACCCTGAACAAAGACCTGTGTACCTTTAACAACACCCTGGCAGAAGGCTGGCCTGTGCTCACCTGCTCTCTGGATGCCATAGATCACGGGACCCACTCTTTAGCCTGCTCTATGGGAACAAACTGCATCCTCAGGCAGCTGCTGTGATGAATGAGTGGCATGCAAGGTACAGTATGGGGGGCGCGCTCTAAGGGTGCAATGTGTTGTACATAGAGCACACATACTGAGGTACACAGTGTATGCTGCAGCCCCAGTGTCTAGACCAGGATGTATAGCTTGAGCAAGTTCCAAGTCCCTGGAAGAGCGGAACCCCTTTCTCACTTGGTTCCACACAGCTCCACTTAGGCTTGCCAGCTAAGTGACCCAATGAAGGCTGTTCCTTTACTGCCACAGTCTTCCTTACCTGGATCAGGCCTGCTAGCAGATACAGCACAATAAAGGTCTTGCTGTTGGTCACTGACTGACCTTCTACCAGGTAGATGATATAGAAGAAAATCAGATGGCCTGGGATCACAAGACAGAGCAGGACTCGCGCTGACTTGGAATTAATTTCTGAAAAAAAAAAAAAATTAAAATAAAATAAAATAAAATAAAGAGCACTATATGACTTTCCTGGCAGCAGAGGCTACCTCAGCATGTGGTCATTCTCCATAAAGGTTCCACATCCATTCATCTACTCATTCAACAAGTGTTCACTAAGCACCTACTATGTGACATGTTCTAGCAGATGAGAATTCAGTCTTGCTTCTTGCTGCACAGTGGTGGTGAACTGTCAATTTGAGCGGAGAATGCTCAGCTGAACTGAGTCAGCACAGTTCTGCCACAGAAGACCCATTTTAGGGAGGACTGTTATCTAAACAGCACTAAAAAAGAGAATGGATGTGAAGGATTTCAGCTGATTTTCCTTGGAGGAGCTTTGGCCATTCTCTTTGGAGGAGCTCTGGTCTTCCCTTTGCCTTGGGAGTCATCTCTTATTTTCTGGCACAGACCTCAGCTTTCAGCACTGGACTTTTGGCTGCCAGCAAGGACTCTGGCTTCCAGCCCCAACCCTTCAACCTCCCAGTGCAGACCAACTGTCTTCTGGCTCGATCCTTCAGCCTCCTGGGGCAGACTTGCCTGGGACACTGCTGTGGGCTCCAGGCCATCAACTAGATCCTCTGGATCTCTAGAGCAATGGCAGATCTTTTGTACACTTCTACATTTGACTCTGTGGTCCAGCACTGTAGACTGACATTGTGAGCTTCTGTGTCTTGCATTAAATCTGACTTAGAGCATGTGCAGTCTTTTGAGGACCCTTGCTCCAGCCCTAGTGAGGTCTTGTGCACATTGAGTAATACATGCATGCAGCTGATATTTTGGGGACAAGATAGTATTCAAGTACATAAAATAAATAGGAAAGGTCATTTCAAACTGTGACTAGTGCTGCAGAGACATGAAAAAACACAATGGATACACAAGTGGGGGTGAGATCCTAGAGGTCTGAACACCTCTCAGAGAGGCAATATTTAAGCTGAGATCTAATTTGGGAGAGAGGATTCTGGACAGAGGAAAGGGAATTGTGGAGTTCAGGGTGGAAAAGAGCTTGCAGGTGCATAGGTCATTCCCGCATTCCCCTAGGCATCACATTAGTAACCCGGGGAGGGCAGAACACTCACAGGACACCTTGGGCAGCTTCTTCTAAGCCTCTGGGGCCTTGACAGCACAACCGGGTGTGTGCCAGTGGGCCCCTAGTTTTACCTCTGCTCTATGAGTTTAAGATTTTGTCATTCATCCTTGTTCAACACAAATAGTGTTTTAATATGTCTCCACCAGCTTATACCACTGGTTGTACAAGTATGACTGGATCTAACCAATTTTATCAGTCCTTTTGCTAATAAAATTAATAAAAAGCTGCATGATCGGACAGTCATGTACATGCCACCCAGCAGTGAGACACAGAAATTATAGCCCATTGCGAACATGTTAAACTACAACATGTGAATGTGACTGACTTCTCAAAAGAATTAATACAAAGTGTCTATTCATAGTTAATATATGTCAATAAAACAAGGTAAAGGAAGGGAAAGATCATATGTAGCTTAAAAGCTAGAGTCCCTATCATGAGATAAGATACAGAAAGAAGATAAGAATGGGTAAGAGGACCAAAATCTATTCATGATGAGATATGATAGTGCATAAAAAGTTTTTAAGGGTTTGGATATAGTTCAGTGATAGAGCACCTGCCTAGCATATGTAAGGTCCTGAGTTCTAGCCTCAGCACCATAAAAGAAAACAATCTTTAAAAAGATGCCTCCAAATAAGAAGCAACACAGTATATAGCCTGTAGTGTAGTGCTTACAGTGTGAGGCAGTAGCATGAAAACTCAAGACAACCTATAAAGAACCTACACATAAACAGTAAGAATTCAACAATATGCTTGGTGTATGAATACCAAAACCAAATAGTTTCCTATACATAAATGACAAGTCAGAAAAAATGGGAACCAGGTACAGCGTGTGCTAGGCAGCTGTAAACCAAGCAACCCAAGAGACAGGGAGAAACAGCACTGTAGCCTATGAACTCAGCCTGGGCAAAAATGAACAAACAAACCAAACAAGGAAGGATAAGTAGACAACAGAGATTTCTACTTTTGGACAAGATGGGGACAGAAACATCTTCCTATCCTTATCCTTCCCATTAAGTATAACTAAAACTCCTGCTTAATATAGGAAACAAAGATTTCTAAAAGATGGAGAGGAAAGAAAAGCTGGTCAGGTGTAGGGAGCTGCGTGTAGCCCCGCCCTAGGATGGCGCCGGTTTCCACCTTCCACCCCCTCAGGGGGTGAGCGCTCCTGGTAATCAACAACTCCATAAAAGGCCAAGGCTTGGGCTAATGCATTGCTTCCGCGTACCTGGACCAATGGATGGTACACACGTGGCGTCCCATGGTTGGAAGCCCTGAGATTTATAAGCTAAGAGCAGGGGCCTCCAGGGAAAAGAAGGCTGATGTAACAGGGCAATAAAAGCTGCGCAGACACAACCAGTGGTCGCGTCTTCCTTGCTGGCAAGGCCGCGCGCGACAGTCAGGGACTTCAGGAACCAAGAAGCAACATGATATAAATTTCCTAAAGATTTTATTTGGTCTAAAGCATTTCAGACTGGGTCCTACAAAATTTATCAGCCCAGAACTGCCAACGACAGCAGACAGAGACTCAACAAGTATCTGTACTCTTCAGGCGAGGTGAAAAGTATAGCCTAGCAGAGCAGAGAACTTTTAGGCAGTAACTACTATTGCCTGGACAAACACTAACGGAAAAGCTGCACCTACTTCCATACAAAGGCTGACAGGGCTATCTGAACTCCCTTCTCCACCCAGACACCAGGTGGCTCTCCCCTCCATGGCTGAGGTAACACAGAGAAGGCAGGGCAGAGCATCAGAAAGTTTATTCCCATTTTGTCAGTCATGGCCACATAAAGGGCCGTTACAGAGCATCACTGTTTCTCTCAGCCAGCTTGGTGTCAGAGGAGGCCTAGTGAGGGAGGACCTGGACTCACACACTGCCAGGCAGGAACAAGATGCTTCTCCGTCCACCCCTGCCTGGCAATGAGGAAATAGTGTGTTTCCTTTCCCACAGTGGTACAGTGCAGGTCAGCAAAAAACAGATTTAACTCAGATCTACAGTCTTATCCAAAATATGAAGATTCAACCTTGTCATATCATATTAAGAGCATTAAAAATCTCAGTGGGGTTGAAAACCAATAACCCAACAAACTGAGATGACACAGACATCAGGATTACCTACAGACAACCTTAACATATTCAAAACAGGGCTTCAGTTTGTACTGCTGCTGCCAAGCGGCTTGAACCACCAATGGTATATGCATGACTGTCCCACTGGGTGGCTTTCTGTCAATTTTATTAGTAAAAAGACCTGTAAAAGTACTTAGATACATTTGAACCACCAGAGGTACAAGCTGCTCCACAGGAGAGTCAAGGGTTCAAGCCAGCAGGAACATGTTAATGAAGCCATCATAAACATCCTTCTACTGTGATCCTCCTGCCTCAGTCTCACGAGTGTTGCAGTTACAGTCAGGCGCCATAAACATCCTTCTACACAAAACCTCAAACACACTTCAAATAAGTGAAAAAATAGTCACCAAAAAGAAAAAGAAAATAAAAAGACTCAATTAGAAATTTTAGAAGTTAAAAAAATAACCAAAATAAGCCAAGTAACTCAATGAATAAAGAGAAAAATGAAGAGAGACCAAGGGAAGAACCAGAGAACTTAAAAGTACCACAAGTAATGGTGCAAAATCCCCCAAATTTGGCAAAAGATAAAAATACAGCTATCTAAGGCAGCCATGAAACAAAATTAACTGTAAGAAATCCTTGTCAATCCATATCATAATCCGACATCTAAAAAAAGAAGTCTTTAAAAAAGCAAGAGAGAAACACTGCCATATTTAATGCACCAAAAGCTATCCACCCAGAAGCAAAAGCAATTCAAATGATAGCAGATTTGCCATCAAATCATAAGTGGCAGATGTGGCACTTGCGTGGATCAGGAGTGGCAGATGTGGCACATTACTGGATTAGGAGTGGCAGACTTTTCAGATGATGAAGTAAAAACCAACCTGTAATAGTCTAGCCAGCAAAAATGTTGTTTTAAGATGTGCCATTGCTCCCCTACATAATGAACAAAAGTATTTTTGGAAACAGGAAATAATTCAAGAAAATATAGTGGGAGAAAAGATCTGATTATGAAAAGCTGAACCAATAGCTGCCAGTGGTTCTCAAAGATAAAATCAAACTCCTTCTTCAAGCTTTAAGGTCCTCTAGCACTTGCTCATCTCTTGGGCCTCGATTTCCTTAATCCCCTCTTGCTCATTATACTCCTGTGTCACCAGTCTGAGTTGCTCAAACTTGCCAAGTGCCTTCTTGCCTCTGAGCCTTCACTCAGGCTGTTTCTTCTCCCCTAAGACTCCTCTTCGCAGCCAATCCCTGCTCATTCTCAGAGAGGAGCTTTCTCAACCCAAGCCTGTGTATACCCTCAGATTCTTTTTCATTACACCCTGAACTTTTGTCTTTTGGGTCATATGACAACTAGTAATCATGAGCTCATTTGTTTTATGTTTACTTACTCTTGTGGTCTTAGTACTCCATGAGACAAAAAATCAGCTGTCTGTTTCACCAAACTGTCACCCAACACCTTACTTAGTAGGCATTTAATATTTGAGTGAAGGAAAGACAGGCAGACAGACACAGACAGATCTGGGTAGTCAAGTCCCTCAGAAGGGGAGGAGCAGGGGCCTAGAACGTTATCTATGCTAGGGTTGGATTGGCCTCAGGCAGCCATTGCTGCAAACTCCAGATTCAAATGACATAAATTTTTATTTGTTTAAAGAAATGGCTACATGACCTCTGAAGACACCAGACCAACCTGAGGTGCAGAAGGTAGAACATGGATTAGGCCAGAATTTTTTCATCTGGAGAGGTAGGACCCCAGGAGTGCTCCAAATGTGCAGGTAAGTGGAGATTCGGCTGGTCTGAACAGCAACCAAGTTACCACCAACACCTGCAAGAAGAAAGAGGATCACATTTCTCATTCTTTACACCAGTCTCTGAGCTCTCTTATCCTAAGCTCACTCTCTCCTCCCAGATTGAGTCAGCATCTGACATCATCTCCTTCTCTCCAGCTGATCTTGTCTGGTGCTCAGAAAGGTGGTCCAGACCTCCTGAGTGAGGTGCCACTTTGACAGCTAGCACCTCTTACAGTGAGGGAAAAGTGACTGGCAGAGCAGGTTCTCAGTTCCCGGCAAATACTTGTTGGCTTGAAGGAGGTAAACTAAGGAGAGGAAAAACAGGAAAGGAGTGAGGATGAGGAGAGGGGAGAGTCGATGTAAACACTCAGCAAGCCACTCCAGGAAAGTAAGTTAGACTGCAAGGCCAAGGGAATGGACAGGAACCAGACAGCAGATGGGAATCACTGAAGCAAAGAAAGGCGAGAGCAGGGAGAGACCCATGGTTAAGAGAGGAGGGTGACAGGGAAAGGAGAACAAGGGACAAGCTCTTCTCATGGCTTGACACATGATAAGTGTTTTTAGGCAACGCACTTCTCTCCACTGGGCTTCAATCTGTATGCTGACTCTCTGGGGACCCCACGCTGCTAGTACAGAGGCCCACATCCATAGTGGCTTTGGATGTGTGCATGGAGGGCTGTCTGGGGGAAAATTCAGAGCTGAGGGCTCAAGAGTGGATGAATGTAGAGCCGATATTGACAGGATATCAGGAGGCAGAATCAGGAGCCCCAGAAGATGCCAAGCATATTTGGTCCCTGAAAGTTTTGTTGAGTTTCATGGCTTCCACAGGTGTGAAAAAGGTTTTGAGTTCTGCCAGAGCCATTTGACCCAGCTGACAAAGGCCATGCTCAGCTCCTTCTGCTGGCAGTAGATTTGGGTGCTGGAAAAGGAAAGAGCATGCCTGGGAGATGCTTCCTTTTAGGAGCTAGCTGACAGAGGTTGAGGCTTGACCCTTTTCTATGTCCTCAGCCCCCTGGAGAACCTTTTGTAACTGCAGAAGTGCACAGTTGTGCCACAGAGACTTCTAAGGCTGTTTGCAGAGGATGCAAAAAAGCTGCAGGCAGAGGACAGCTGCAGATTGATTTTCTGTGGCCCAGAAATGATTTTTATGAGTTGGAGAAACTCGCAAGCTAATGGGGAGCACTTGTAATGCTTTTAATGCAGATTCCAGGTTTCTCTTAATAAGCCAAGTCTGGATCTACTTTCCCACCAGACTACCCCTGGCTGCAGCTGACCAGGCAGGTACCACGCCCTTCACATCAGCATTGGGATCTGCAGCTTGACCCAGGCCCCACAATTCCTTACCACACAGCTCTCAAGTTGTATGAATGGCCTCCAAAGGCCAATGAGTCACTGGCATCAGAGAGACACACTGCCCCTGCTAAGCGTACTGCCATCTGCGGCCGTCCTTACTATGTCCAAATACTGTGGGGCACTTTCAGGCACAAGTATGTAGGGGAGGAAGGGCACTGCCACACAAGAAGCACAGACATCTTCACCTTTGGGGGAGGAAGGGGGGCTGTGGATGTTTAGCGTCTTCCTGAGGAACTGTGAGCCCCGTTTCCACAGCCCCAGAAAGCCAGGGCCTGGGGAGCAATCAAACTGGACAATGACTTGGCACGCTTTGTGCTTCTACCAACTGGCAGGTTCTACTTTCAGAGCTTCATGAGGTACCAGACATCAAACCAAGAAGAGCCATCAGTTCAAATGCTCACAGGGTGTAGGGTATAGAAGGTGATTAAGGAACGGAGTCATACACAGGACAATAGAAAGTGACAGGGATCAAGGCAAACTAGAAACACAGGCCTTGCTCCAGGTTAGGCCGAGAATATAAACCCAGGATAGCACAGCCTTGATTTTAAGGGGAACACAGAAACCTAGGTTTGTATGCATACATATCTGAGTTTCAATGGCACCAATGGATCTTTAAAAACCCACAGGAGAACAATACTTTAGTTATGGAGTGCCACATTCAGTTTGCAGTTGCCCGCAAAGTTGGAGTTGAACTCTGCCTTCTAGGTCTGGGATTTATCTCTGCCAGGAAAGCTCCTGTCTTAATGGTGCCCATGAAGACAGTATGTACCACCTCTGTTGGGTTCCCATTCATCTTACATGAACCAGCTCCAGTGACCCTGTAGGTTCAGCTGCACACCTGCCTCCAAGGTCTGGTGCTGGACTGATGTTCAGGCCCAAACCATTCCATAGGAACCAACCTAGGCCAGAGACCCCCGGGGGACCATGTCAGACACCTACCGCATATGACAGGAGTAAATATGGCCATGCCTTTGTACTGGTGCTCAGAAATGGTTTTGCTCAGGATGAGCCCTCCAAAACTAAGGAGAAAACAGACAGCAGTCAAATGAACAGATCTGGCATATAGAGGAGTCCTTCCAGCCTTCTCTATGCAGAAGGTCGCACTGGCCTGCCCCCAGCCTCAGCTTTCCACTACACAGAACACCTGCTGCAGCCTAGGGCACTGCCCCCAGGCCCTCTGTGCCCAGTTTTCCATCCCCACTTTGGGTCCTGACTGCTCCAGGAGGCCCAACAGCTAAGGACAACCCATTACAAAATAAATGCATGGCTTTGGGAAGTGATGCAGCTGGCTAGGTTCCCTCCATGGAGGGCTCCTGACCCATGATCGAGCTGGGCTTCAGCAGGAAATACAATCTGCACAGAACGCTTCATGACCCTGTTGTCAGGAACTGCTGCAGCAAGACCGTGCTGCTGCCAGCCACTGTAGTTTAGCAAAGGTTTCCCCAACCCTTGGACTTCTGAGAACTCTGGGGAATATAGATTGATTTGACTAGGAGCCCAGGAACCTTTTAGAAGCAAAGATATCTGGACCACAATCTCTTTTTTCCTGAGACTCTGATTAAAACTATGACTGAATGGACAGTAGCGGCTCCATCAAAGGCTTCTAGCAGGAAAAGGGGCCTTGAGAGTGAGGCTGGAGTGAAGTAGAAATGAGTTGGATGAAAGACTTCAAAAGTCCACAGGAAGCTAATCCCACCGTCCTGCAGATACCACCGGTAGCCATGATGTGGAAAGTGACCACTCAGCCATCACCATGAGGCTGTCAATAGACACCCTGCTGTCTCAGCAGGGGTCAGGGCCAGCCCTGGACTGTGAAAGCCAGGGTCCTGCAGTGCTGTAGTGTGGTGGGCTCCTGGGACTGCAGAGGATGTGTCTGTCCTCCTCGCCTACCCCTGGTTCTGGCGATTGCAAACAGAGTGTGTTCAGTGACAATGCATAAGGCCCCCAATTCAATTGAGAGTGCAGCTGGTACCCTCCAGTAGTGGGAGTCAGGGCAGAGGAAGGAGCAGTGCAGGCATGTGTGCACAGGCTCACCTGCTGATAACCATGGCAAGGATGATTGGAAACCACCCGAACTTTAGGATCTTCACGACTGGGGGGTTCTGCTTGGCAATGAGGACCCACAGGGGGACCAGAGCCATGAAGCCAATGCAGACCAGTGGTGTCAAATACCAGGTATCTGAAATAGAAAGGGGACACTTACTTGCAGCTCATGTGGCCAAGGAAGGCTGGCACACAAGGCTCAGCCTGGCCAGGACAGGGCCTGGATTCCCCAGGCAAGAGGTGGGCAAGGAGCCAAGGACAGGGAAACCCACAGAACCACTTCCATGCTCATCATTTGGAACAGACAAGCCTAGCATACCTTCTACAGATTCTTCCCTGTCCCATTAAGCAACTGGACAAGTTCCTCTCTGTCTTCCATTCACCTCTGCTTCTCAGTTGTTGACTTTTCTCCACATATAGATGTCCTGTCAGCCAATACTGTAAGGAGCAGTACCCTATAGGACAGTGACCAGGTGACAGCTATTCCCCTGCAACACCTCGTTTCATGTTCACCACACCCTGCTTACACACCAGGAGCAGAGCAAAGCAAGAAAGGCAGCTGCTGGAGGTGCACAGCAGCAGGTAGTGCCAGCTGGCGCTATGGAAAGCTTACAGGTGCACGTTGCCAGCCCTCTCCTGGCCAAGGTCATCTACGGTGATGTCCTTGCTGTCATGTCTCTCATAAGACAAGGATAAAGGTCAACCTGGTACCTACTCATGTCAACATGTCGTCACTGCCAATGGATACAAGGCTGGTAAAGACATAATGGTGCCTGGATTGGCCCGTTGCTTCCCCAGGCCCAATGTATTCAAACACCTTTTCTGCTCACTCTCTTCCTTCTGCATCCTGTATGCGATTTTCACCTTTCAATAAGCACAGAACACCACAGCTTTCTCTAGGACCATCTTCCCACCCTCCCAGAGGCAGGCTCAGAGCATGCACAACCTCTTTGCAAGGAGGCCCCCATACTGAGATTCACAGGCATGGTTTGTGCCCTGTGTATTCCTGTGGCAAGTGACATGAGGAACACTCCCCTCCCTCTTTCCTTGCTCTATACAACTATAGTCCATTCCACGAATGCCTGAGAATGCTTTTAGACAAAGCACTTCATGGTGGCATGACTGTCCTTGTGCTGCCCCAGGAGATGGGAGGCAGCTGCAGCAAGGCTCAAGCACTCAGGGACACAGTGGCCTGTGGGAGCATCTGCTTACAGGACTTCTGGAAGTGAGGTCTAAGTTTTCCCTAACTGCCCACATCACCATCAAGGTTCTGGCTCCCACTCTCCACAGCACGGTAACACACACTCCCTGCGTGGGGCTACATCTCCACTGTCCCTGGGAGGGGAAGGTCGACTCACTGGCAGTGAGGACCTCCCTTCCTGGCCAGGTGCAGTGACTCCTGAGTGCAACAGAGATGTTTGTAGGTTCACGATGGTGACCGAGTGTCCAAACCCGAAGTCATGTGTTAACATAAGCATACAGGACAGAGGGGTCAGCAAGAGGATATGGGGAAGCCTGGAACTCTTATTTATTTTACAAGCCAAATGTGTGAATCATTAACTTCTATGAAAATCTGGTAGCAAGCAACACCCAAGAGGAGAGGCAAAGAATTATCCCAGAGCTAGGACAGAAAGGGTCTTAGCACCTTACTGCTATTTGTGTGCTTTGGTAATTAGCATGTAAAAGCAGGGTGATTTCTCAAATCCCTGGGTCAACAGTCCCATAGGGACTGGAGAAATGAGAGCTTTGACAAGGCTGCTCCTATTGTCGAGGGCAGTGCCTTTAACCCCACATCCCTGCTCCCGACTGGTTTCACCCCTGGAAGACACACCTAAGTGGCCAGAGCAGCCTGAGGACTAGGCGTTCCCCTTGCATGCCTCTGTTCTAAAAGTGGAAATCAACAACCACAAGTCTGTTCACTTGAGCTGCTCATTTCCCCTCTCCCAAGGGCTCCAGGACACTGGATATGCTTAGCAAGTTCAGGCTTCCTTCCCCTGTAGAATGAGGACCTCTGATTCTGCAACACCCTGCTCTAGGTTCCTTCCTATGGGAACAGTGCCTGATTTGAATGTCACGGCTGGGTGCCAGAGCTCCCACTCAGCTCAGCCTTGCTGGTGATCAACCCGGGACCCCTCCTCCCTGAAGCCCTCCCTACCTTTGTGTCTGTAGAAGAAGCTGCTAACCAAAGCCAGAATGGACAGTGTGATGAGGTCACCCAGGCTGGCAGCAATGGGTGTGGCAATGTTGTCTGGGTTGATCCCCAGCTTTCGAGCGCCAACCACTATACAGACCATCAGCATTCCTGCAGAGACAGAAGAAGGAAAGCAGAGTAAGTTCCAATGGGTAATTGGTCCTGAGAAAGCTCAGTGGCCTAAGGATCTGTGGCCTGGGAGTGGAGACCAGCAGGGGGTGCCACTGCTCATATCTCTAGGAGATGGACATAGAGTGCTCAAACAGGGCTCCACAAACCAAAACACCAGGCAGATGCTGGGATTCACTCAGGCTGCTGCTCACCAAGGGCGAAGGCCGCCAGGAAGGCGGAGAGGACGCTGCTGGCACACAGCAATGCCACCTTGGCCAAGTCCAACTCCTCTCTAGACACAGCACCCAGCAGCAGGGCAGCCACTGCAGCCAGAAGCCCCACGACAGTGGCCTGCACCTGTGGGGGCAGAAATGGGTCACATAAAAGAGGATCCTTCTGCCTACCGCCAACCTCCCTGCCCTTCACTACACCTCTTTCTTTCAGGGGATACTGCTGCTCACCACTGGCCCTCGTCCTTGGGGTCTGCATCTGCTGGCAGCCCTCCACTGCAGGGAAGACCGACCCCAGCACTGCCCTTCAAGCTGCTTCCCCCTGTTCCCTTGCTAGGCGCCACCTTCCACTGCAGACCCCAAAGCCTGTGCTTCAGCCTCAGGCAAGAAGCACCTAGGCTCCTGTTCCCAGTGCCACTGTCACAACCTTGGAGGCCTCCGCCCGCACACTCGGTGCTCCCTGTCTCACAGTCCCACCAGGCTGCCTCCATCGCCATCCTGCAGGGCTCTCGGTTAGGTGGCCACACAGATCCTCACCATCAAGTGCCCAGATCTGAACCTCAGTATCAGAATGCAAATTGTTATGTTATTGAAAAGGGCTGACAGAAAAAAGTTATCCATGTTCTTGAAAACAGCTAGTTTCTTAAAGATGAAAATCGTTTCAAAATCAAACTCTGTAATTTCAATCAAAGTCTCACAGGATTTTTCATGGCAGTTGATGAGATGTTTTAAACATCACAAAAATGACTAAACAAGCGAGAAAAGATGTTTAGAGAAAGGAGGCCAAAAAAGTTTTTCTGTCACATTCATCAGGAAAATTATGTTAAAATTATAGTAATAACAGCAACATGGCACTGACAGAAACAGACAAATCGGCACGACAGAATAGAGCTCAAGAACACAGTCATGAAGATAAGAAACTTTAAAATTTGATATATGAAAATGTAGTCATGAACAGATGAGATTTAATGATATACACAGCATTTCAAATTACCATGAAATGAGTAAATACTGAGTAAACAAGGTAGAGAAAACTGAATATCTATGTTTGGGGAAAAAACAGCTTTTTACTTCATACCAGGTGCAGGAGCGTGCATACACACACACACACACACACACACACACACACACACACACACACACACATGGGGGAAGGACAGCAAAGGTATGAGTACATTCCTGCTCAGCCCAAGAGGGAGAATGCGGAGCGGTGGGCTGGACATGAGGCTGCTGAGCGAGGCGAGGATGGCCCACTCCAGGACAAGGGGGCCCACCAGACAGGAGGTACCATCGACTCAGCAAAGGGCACTCGAGAGTGGCCATGCAAAGGATGGGCTGGAAGCAGTTGGAGGGCACCGAGATTTATGGTGTTTACTCAGGGCAGGGGAAGGTGGCGCAGGGCTGGATTCAAACAAGACTGAGGTAGAGTCCTCAGTGAGGCTGGATATGAGACAGTGGTGCAGGGAGCAGTGGAGGGCATTACTGGACTGAAGGACCAGCCATGAGCGTAGCTGGCATGACTGGGCGACGACCATGCATTTGACAGCTTTCCATCGACTGTATCAAAGTGCCAGACATAACCACTTTATAAGGAGAAAATGTCTACTTTGGTTCTGAGTTTTGGAGGTTCCAGACCATGATCAGCTGACCTCATGGCTTTAGCCCTGTGGCAGGATGTCACAGAAGGAGCACATGGCAAAACAGAAGTGCTCATTTTGTGGCCAGGAAGCAAGAGAGTGAGGAAGGGCCTGGGGTTTGGCACTTCATGCCAAGAGCACACCTGAAACAACTATTCCACAACTTTCCAACACAGCCATGAGCTGGTGACCTTTGTTTACCTCATGGGCCTTTAGGGGACATTCCAGACCCAAATTATTTCCAGCCATGTTCTCAATAGATGCGAAAGTCCTAAACTATTATAACCTCACTGCAACCCATTTTACAGAGAATGAGGTCCTACAACTGGGTGGCTTCCAAAGACAGTTGTCTACTGTCACATGTGATGGAGTGGGTGGGCCCAGAGGCCCAGAATGTTTCAGGATAGAGCTCCAGATAGAGTTAGGGCCACATTCAGCCTTCCTTCCTGTCCTTGTTCTCCCAGGCATGATGCTCAGTAGTAAGGTCCCTCCATTAGAACTTAGCTCCAAGAGGACCAGGGGGAGGTACAAGTTGAGAGGAACATGAAGCACTCATAGGGCTAAGACGATTTCTCACAGGCTGACAAGGAATGGGTGGGCAGGCGGGCCGGCAGGCAGGCAGGCAGGCAGGCAGGCAGGAGTGGGGCCAAGGGAAATTCAGGCAGGAAGGATCCACCAATGCTCCCCAGAAAGGTTAAATAAAGTCACATGAAAAAAAAAAAACCTCAGGATCAATTAGCAGAATATCAGTGAGCTTGGAGAGAACAGTTTGAGTTAAAATAGTGGGAAAAGAAAGAAACCTGTTAGCATGTGCAGAGAGAACAACCAAAGACAGGTGGCCCACTCAAGAATCTGGTTTGGAAAGAAGTGCGTAGAGAAGCAGAAGGAATCTGAGGCCCAGGAGAGGCAGCTCCTTCAGGTAGATGTGATGCCCTGGAGGTGGGCTGAGTCTCCAGCAGCTGCATGAACCAGGCCAAGTGGACAGACAACCACATGTCCTCAAAGTTCAGTCCAGAGTACAGAAACAAGGGCTAGTCCGGCCCTCTCTGTTCCTACCTGGAGTGCCCCTCACAGCAAATTCAAAAAGAGGGAGGGGTTGCATCAACGTGACAAAGTGGAGATTCACCTGAATGAGGGCAAGGTTGCTGCTGATGATTCTGTGTTTCTCCTGGGGGTCATCAATTTGTCCAGTGTTGGCCTAGGAGAAAGAGAAAGAGACACACAATAAGTCTGGCTACTCCCAGGGCAGTGCAACCCATCCTAGAGCAGAGACCTCTCAAGACAGAAATCAAGAAAGCCCATTTCACTGACTTCTGAACAAATCAGGCTGCTTGGTTTTCTAGACAGCAATTCACTCCCTTTTGAATAGCCTGGGGAACAAAGGTAAGGACAAAGTCCCCTTGAGAATGGGAGGGGTATCAAGGACCACCCCTGGGTGCACATGTGTGAGCACATATGCACAACACATGTGCTGCTCATGGCTTCACGGCCATCTCCAACCCTCCAGCTCACACCCAGACTCGGGAAGGCTTCCTACTGTAAAGGTACAAGGGCAGATGCTGGGCCACAGTCCCTGTCACCTACAATTCCCTTCTCTCCTTTCCAACTGGCCCTACCTCAAAGATCTGGCCCTGTACATCCTTCGCAAGATCAAGCCATTTAAGAAATACATTGTATGTTTCTTCTCTCACAGTATAAAAAATATAATTGAACTTCCTCTCTTAAAAGTGGTAGTTGTTTCCTAAACAGCACTGTAAAAGCCAACAAAACAACAAATGGCTCAATACCAATATTTTTTTTGCTTCTTTTATTTTTGTTTTTCAAAATGAGGTCTTTCTATGTAGTTCAGTCTGGGCTTGAACTTTCTGTTTCCAGCCCAGACTGGTCTGGAATTTATGGTAATCTTCCTGCCTTGGTCTTGTAAATGCTGGGATTACAGGGATGTGCCACCACACTGGCTCTTCCTAGCTCCTTTTTACTTAGTTAATAAGTTTCTGAATTCCAAGGGGGAAAAAATATAAAGATCTGCCTACTATTAATGAATGTGATGATCACTTTTTTCCCTATCCACAAAGAAGGGCCCAAGCTCAACACCTACCAGTAACTGGTGCAGACCTCAGGCTATTTGCTTTAGGCAGATGGAAGGATCTCAGTGGCCTCATAGGAGGCAGGTAAGGAGGTGGGAGCAGGAGATTATGGCAGGCCCCATGAGGCCAACAGCTCATTTCTGTTTTATGTGCCACAGCAGGACCATGTATTGCCTGCACTTTGTTGTTTTAACTCACATTTTCTATTAACTACCTTGACCTTGGTCCTGGATCCTAGCAGATATGATGACTTCTGTTTCCATAGATAAATCACAACAGAACTGCTTTCCTCAAAGTATTATGTTTGCATCGACTGTGAAATGGCTACACATGCAGATCTCTGACTCGAGCCCTCATAGCAGCCCAGCTTTTACTCTGAATGAAAGTGCTTGCCAAGGTCACCACTGGCACCCAGGAGCACATTACTAGTAAAGCCTAAACAGAAAAGTGAGGCAAAGGAGGAGGCAAAGAGGGGAGGGCTTAAGGGCTAGGAGTTTGGACATTATAGAAGTGAGGCAGGGCGAACACCAGAAGGAACTAGGAGCCCATTTGAAGGAATAATGCCAAAAACTGCCCCAGTCAGAAGAAAGACAGCCATGGAAATACATGATGAACAAACTCAAAGAAGAGTAAAGCTGAAGAGTCGCACACTGGGGCTGGAGAGATGGCTCAGTGGTCTAAAGCACCTACTTAGAACAAGCTTAGCAAAAGCATCAGGGACCGCGGTTCAATCCCCCAGCACCACATGC